TACAGCAATGATTTGATTTGTTTGACTTCCTTGTTCTGTGGTAAAATGTCTTTTTTCCAACCCTATTCTGACACCGCCTGCCAGCTGAAACACCTGCAGCTATTTCACAAATCAGATTCAATAAAAAGAAAAGCAACACTTGTTTACATTTGATAACTCTGAATTCACTTTTTCAAAACTGGTCAGACATCTCTCCTTACTGATCAACTAATCTAACATCCAGGGCTGGACTTGGACAAAAAAATCGGCCCTGACATATTGGTCGAGAGAAGCCCACCACAACCAATCACTGTGCGGAGGACAGAGCACAACCAGGTTGCAGCCGGCCTGTGGAGAGCTGCGGCTGGTGGTATTGTCGCCCAGGTCCCTTACAGGGAAGATGACAGCTAAGGTAACAAACTGGGGACTAATTCAGCTCATATCATGACTAACTTTACACTGGTTCCCAGTAAAATCCAGAATTGAATTTGAAATCCGTCTCCTAGTACCATATTACCCCACCAGATCACTACGTTCAGAGAATGCAGGGTTACTTGTGGTTCCTGAAGTCTCCAAAAGTAGATCAGGAGCCAGAGCCTCTACAGCTATCAGGCTCCTCTTCTGTGGAACCATCTTCCTGTTTTTGTCCAGAAGGCAGACACCGTCTCCACATTTAAGACTAGACTTAAGACTTTCCTCTTTGATAAAGCTTATAGTCAGGGCTGGCTCAGGCTTGCCCTGGACCAACCCCTAGTCAGGCTGACTTAGGCCTAGTCTGCCGGGGGACCTCCTATAATACACTGAGCCCCTTCTCTCCTTCTCACTCTCAGATTCTTTACAGTTGGTTTCTTCTTCATTTGCTAACATTCATGTCCTGTTACTGCATGTCGCTGTCTCAGCTTCTTCTTCTGAGCCTTTGTGCTCCACTGTCTTGCAGGTTCCCTCGAATTGTGGCTATGCCTGGGTTGTGGGTCGTACTTACGCTGCTGCTGTGGTCCTGCCTGATGCCTACTACTACTGCTGTTATTATTAGTCATACTTCTGCTATTATTATAAACATATGATTATTATAGTCACATACATATACTATCATATATTAATATATACTTATGACATATATACTATAAAAATACTATTATTATTATTATTATATTATTACTAAGATTAATGCTACTGTGGCTATTGTCATTGCTGTTTGCCCTGCATCTCTCTCTGTCTCTAGCCCTTTTTAGATAGGAATTGTGCAAATTTGCAGGAAAGCCCAATTAGTCTTTTTTCAGCATTGGCAGTATAAAAACAAAATCGGGGAGTGTAGCAAACGCTGCCTACCTACTTTTGTTTATACAGAATGCGCCTTTCTCGGGGCAACAGGGGGCGAGAGCAAGTAACAAAACATGTACAGTAGCTCAGCGTGCGATGTAAACAGTGACGTGGGAGGGAAGCCATGGCTAGTCAGGCGGCAATTCTCTCGTTAGTTGGCCCGTTCTTCACCGTCCCTGTCATCTGACAGTTAATGGCCTCTTCGTTTGGGAGGACAAGGAGGGCACGCAATTCCTTGTCTCCCCAGTTGGTCATCTTTACAGTGTCTGTCAGGTTTGCGTTTCCCTCTTGCTACTAGCTGCTCGCTAATTCCTGCTATCAGCTGTTTCCTGTTTATCCACCACCAGTGGCTCGGTCTGTTTAAACTAAAAGGTTTCCACCAATATGACTACCCTACAAGGCGGAAAATTGGGCACCTCGGATCAACTCGCCAATCTGGCTCTGTGTGTCTAAACACTCGCAGCTTGTCAGCCCAACATTCGTGGAAAATCTGGCCGCGTAAAAGGGGCTTCTGTCTCTCTTGGTCTCTACATCTCCTAAATTATCATATGGATCACTGTACATTTATTATTTTGATCTACATGATATCAATTGTTCCTCCTGAGGTTTTTACCATTTTTCTCCTGTTAAAGGAGTTTTTTGGAGAGTTTTTCCTTATCTGTTGTCAGGGTCCAAGGACAGAGGGATGTCGTATGCTGTAAAGCCCTCTGAGGCAAATTGTGATTTGTGAAATTGGTCTTAATACCACTTAATAAATAAAATTGAATTGAATTAATTTCAGTGGATTATAACATATTGTGTATATGGAATTAATATGCAGATGCTCTAATTCAAAATGAGACAGGACTTTTGGATATATGTAACTTTTGGTGCCATGACAAAGGCCAAAATGTGACCTGCAAGAAACAGGACGGCTTGTTGTTTTTAGCCAAGATGATTTCTGGAAAACTTGCAGCAACCACCGGCCAGTTAAGACAAGTGATCGGAGAGGCCATTTACACGTTGCCGGCTATTTTCATAAACGGACATTTCACCGTCTCCGTTTTCAAAAAGATCTTCGTTTACACTTACCCATGTATATATACACAAGAGCATGCCAAACCTGTAGGTGGCAGTGTAACGAGAAGCTCAAGCCTTCCATGTATCCATTGTCACCATAGCAACATAGGTCGCACTTTTGACACAGGCGCAAGTTCCGGCGCATACTGTGACATCGACTGCCTATAACTCCGTTTATCTCCGTTTATCTCAGTTTACATGCAAACGCGCAACCGGAGTTTTCCAAAATCTCCACTCTGGCCGGAGTTTTTAGAAAGACTCGTTTTCAGAGGAGAAATCTCCGTTTGCGTGTAAACGAAGGGCACAAACAAAGGAAGATGTCTCTGTTTATCAAAATCACCTTGTACGTGTAAACGGCCTCGGAGTCTGCAGTCTGCAACAGTCTCTAGTTATTTCATTCTTGCTGTCATTTCCTCTTTTTTCAATTTATTTTAACTGGGTGTCACAGTTCCCCAGAGTGGATTGGAGAGTAATTCAGATCACCTGTTGCGCAGGGTGTGGGCACTGACTCCTAATTAAGAATTGAGTACAGCTTGGTGCATTTCCCCTCTGGACCACTCAGGGCGTGACTACACCCTCTCTGAGGACTTAAGAGGGGTGAGAAAAGGCACACTCAGGACATTCTGGTCCTTCCTCAACTTCAGGCAAACCTCGTGTTAGCAAACATTGCCAGCCAGCTCTTGTGAAACTTGCTTCTACATATGTTTTTAAACCTCGATAGCTGCGGCCAGAGGCGAAACGTATTCAGGTTGTCAGTCTCATCCTTGTGACAGAAGGGGAGACATTTGGTCGGATACTTAAGTGGTGACACTCATCTTGGATACCCACCTTGAAATTGTACTGACTTTATCGATCGTCTGTGCTGCCGGGGGGAAGATGTGTGTGAAGCGTCCATGTTTTCACAGACATAAATGTCAACTGAAAAAGAACCTTGGCTGGGTTTCTACATTTATGAATCACTGCAACCACTAGAGGTCCCTGAGCACAGAGTCACAAATATGCACTCAAAATATGAGGATGGTTGGTCCTGTGGTCTGGTATCTGGTAGACAGATAGATATAGAAACTCACACATGGGCAAACACTACCAAATGCATGATCTCTGCAGACTCACGTCTGGCCAAGATGACATGTCAGAGTGGATTTCCCACAGATGTAAAATAAAGCAGACTAAAGCATGTTCAGAGGGGACGGTGTAAACATAAAATCATAAATCAGTCAAGAACCTGGAGCTCTGTCAACAGCAGCCGTTTAGCTGTCACAAAATCTAACAGTAGCCTCATTAGAGTAGTTTGTTTGTCGTTATCACTTCTGTTGAAAAATGTCTTTATCCAACCATGTCTTCACACTTCACACACTTCCCTAACCTACAGCTATTTCACCCATCAGACTACACAGAAACAAAAGCAACATGTTTGATAACTCACATTTTTCTATACTGAGTTCACTTTGAAAACCCTTTCAGACATTTCTCTGTACCAACCTTCAGCTCAGCACAACAGTTAATCTGACATCCAAAATGTACTGAAGCAACCAGAACACTTGGTACGACTGGGAACAGAACACTGACAACATTTGTCTCCCAACAGTAACACTGTCACTCATTATACAGCAACCACAAAAACACTAACAACAGGTAGCATTACAGTATGTATCACAAAGACAAAAGTCTTTGAAATATCTTTTATGTATTTACCGTGAACCACAGTTATAAATATTACATAGAAATACCAAAAATCTCAGATTAGGATTATTACTCTCCAAATAAAACACTTGTTTGATAAACTTGAAAACATTTTTCCCCATTATGACCATTTGCTACATGGCCTCCATAAAAAGACAAAAATAATGTTGCATGGAATTAAAATATCCACCTCAAGTATGAGCCTGGACCAAAACTGTGATAATTTCTCAGCAGTCCTTACTGTAATAACAGACAGCGCTCAAACTCCCTCTAGTGTTCAGAGGTCAGCCTATAAATCCATACAGATAAACTAGGAAATGAAATACCCCTCCAGATTTTTTTTGTGTCCCAAAGTGGTCAGATTAGGAAACACTGTTCGTTATAAACTGAACCTTTGACTTTGTGTCCATAAATGGATCACCTCTGAGCAACGTTTTCAGGCTGTATGGTCATGCTATAATATAAATACGTAACATAGTTATGATTTTGAGAGTTTTGACAGCCACACAAGCTTTTACTAGGAATCAATCAGATTTTACTGATTCCACTTTCTCTTGTTTTGAAACTGGTTGGATGAATTCAACACTTTCCACAAGCAGGCAACTTTAATCCACTGCAGCGATCTGAATCATGATTTCTTAAAAGTTCACATGTGGTGTTGTTTATTTTCTCTGTGAGCCAGTGAATGAGTGACCCTCCTGATCACTAATGTTCACTCTGTCTGTTCTGGAAGAGTTCAAGGAGCCAGGCTAGATCAGCAGCACTGAAAACAGGCAGCATGTGGTTTAATAGTGACTGTCACAGGTCTCCAGACGAACATACCAAGCATGTAATATCCACCCTGTTGAAGTTGTACCACAGCTGTAAAACAGTCGTCCATGTGCTTCTTTAGTAATGAGAAACAACAACTACTGAGTGGATTGCTGTGCAATCTAGCACACACATTCAGGGATACTCACAGAGCTGATGGCAGGCTGCACACTCCTAATGTTGTTCATCTTTTTTGCTTTTACTTTGTTCAGAAAAGTTTGCAGAGAGGACTCTGTGTCAATGTATTTCCTCGTTGGGTCAGATTCTGTACGCTCCCCTCATTTAATAATCTCACAGGTATATATGCAATTCATTTTCCTCCTCAAGGACACCTGTCAAGTAACTGACAGCGAGGAAATGTTTCCTGGTTTGTGTGATCAGAACTTTCCCAAACTTAACCCTCTGCGGTCCAGAACCGCGCCGGCGCGTCAAAATCACGTGACCGATTTGAGACGACGTAGCAGCAACACGCAGCCTCGCTGAGTCTCCGTTTCATTTTGTGTGGAAAGTGCAAACTTCAAACTTTGTACCACTTTTTAAATCGTCTTGATAGGCCATATAAAACCGGACTTATGATAAATAATAAACGCCATGATTTTCCTGAATATTTTTGTCACGTTTGATCCGCGTTTGATGCAGGAAGAAACGGTAAAAGCGGGCCGTTCGGCCCGACGAAAGTGCTGAAGGCAACAGCAAAAAAAAAAAAAAAAAACGACACCCCCTTTCCTATTGGTTGAAAAATGCACCACGTCAACCAATCACAAAATTGTATGGCAACACACATCATTTGTTCCTGAGGAAGAGGGGGAAGTTGTGGGAGTGACGGCAGCGAGAGAGACCGCGATCGCGATCACAGATAGAGTTGGGATTTGTGACGTTTAGCGTGTTTGGAGTGTATACTTAGTGTGTGGTGTAGTGTGTTTTGGAAGAGGAGAGAGGAAAATGAGCCTCCAACGACCGCATTGAGCGGTACTCGGAGGTCCGCACAGAGGAGCGGACGGTGTGGCAGGGCACGCCCACCAGGTCCGGATCTCCGTTTGCTCAGGCAGCAGAGCCACACAGTGTGTGTCACTCCTCCTGTTGTCCTACTGTTGTGTCCTCCTCCTGTAGTGTGTTGTGGTGGACAGGAACTGTTTTTCAGAGTGGCACAAATAATTTGTGTAAAATCACGTAGGAGAAAAGCAAGCACTCTCAAAATAAATCCCCTAGAAAGGTGCATGGCCAAAAACAGCGACAAACACAGACATTTTGACAGAAAGTCTTCTTCTATGAAAAAGACTTTCTGTCAAAATGTCTGTGTTTCTGGTACTGCCACCCAAGTTGGTTTATTAAATTTACCAAAAGGACATTTGTGAGTGCTGGCATTTTTCCCTTTGACAAATAATTTGTGTGACATCTGATTGTTTTGTAAATAGTTGTTCAAAAAACGCCTGAGGCATTGCTTGCATTTTAATGTAAATAGTTATATATAACGTTGTTGTTTGCTAAATTAGGACATATGTTTTTGAAGTTTACAATTTATATTTTTATTCTAAGTTACACAAATGGTTCGTTAGACATGTTTGTGGTTTTCACAGTAAAAAATCTAACTTTTTCCTACTCGGATTTTATGTTTTTTATGTGATTTTAGGTCCAGTGTGTTAATACAGTATGAAAAAATGAAAAAATAACTGTAAAGTCACACAGGTGAGGTTGTGCTGAAAAGAATGATACCAAACAAGGCAAGGTAAACAGTTTTTTTAAGGTGAAATTTAAAGGTAAAATGAAAACTAGTCAAAAACGGCCAATTACCCCCTAGACCCCTGCACTTAAATCACGATGTTTTCCTAAACTTAACCAAAGTGATTTTGTTGCCTAAACCTAAGACTGGAGTGTTTCATTACCTGAAATGAACATATAACTGTATAAATGTTGTGAAACCCTCTATGTCCATGTTAAGATTTGTGTGAACTAAAGGGATTTTTTTTTTTTTTTACTTATTTATAACCATTTCTTCCAACCAAGCCAACGTCTATATAAGAAATCAGACTTCACAAAGAAAATCAAATGCTGCATATAAGAACCACAAGAAATACACAGAGGTTTTTTATGTTTAATCGTTATTATTTCTTTAGAAGGCAGTGCATTTACCTGCTGCGTCCCAACACCAAATATCTTTATCTCTGTGTGTTAATACATTTAAAATCAGCGTCAAATCATTTCAGAATAAAGAAGCAGAGCATTTTAACATGAGACTGCAGCCTGTGTGATCAGTTGGTGAAAGGTACGAGGGGGGCGTCTTTGGTTCTGTGCTGCTCTACACCCCGCAGTGATGGAGGAGTTGGGAACTGCGTCCCAGCTCCTTGGACGACCATCAGATGAACGTAGTCTGCTCCAACATCAACCTGCACAAAAAGAGAGAAACATTGGACATCTGAAACACACAAATTCATCTGGAGCTTGTGTTGCTGAACAGTGAAGATCTTCTACCATCAGGGATGTTTAACTGGTGTTTACTGTCCTGTCATGACTTTAACGTGACATTAGGTTCAACTGGATGTCACAATTAATTCAACATGAATATTATACAAAGACACACCTGAGGCTTTCAAATGTATCCTTTGAAATACCAGAATATCATTTACCTGTAATTTAACTGTAAACCCCATAGTTCTCGCCTGTCCTTTTCTCCACTTGGTCCTTCACCTGTGTGTGAATGGAATAAAACATGATGTAAATCCAGACTGAAATACAGACCAAAGAGTTGTGTGTGGAGGCTGTGAAGAATGAAGGTAGATTGAAGCTCACCTTATCACACGGCTTCTGAGTTTCCTCAGTGGCGTCCATTGTCTTAGTCCATTCTCCCATATCCGTAGCCATTGTCACAAGGTCTGTTGAAGTTATCAGAGGAGTTGACTGTCTGCTTCTACGTGTCTCAAGTGTTTATTTTCAGCTGGTTTTCACATATATTTATACTGTGTAACCATCCCTGGATTCAGACTGGAAGATGGCTCCGATACCTGATGTTGTGGGTGGGGCTACAGTACAGGTGTAGCCACAGCCCTCACATGATTGTGGTGAAGAAATGTGATGTATTGCTCTGTGCCAGTATCACTCATTTCTTATTTCTTATACAGTAATAGTAGAATAAATGTAGGAACATAAGGACAAAGTGGCCATTGTAAGAGCAATAGATGATTTCAGCAGGTTTGTCAACAGCTGAAACTTTTGAAACTTTTTGAATTGCAAGAAATTATTAGTGAAGTTTCATTAAGTTGCATCTTGCAGCAGCATTTATCAGCCATATTTGCCCATCAAGTCTTTGAGTCTTACATACAGATAAGAATCTGTCACATCAGGTTTTAATTCCCGTTTTTTTCAGTCTTACAAACCAACATGTTGCTTTAAGATTTAATTTTGTGTCAACAGACCAGCTGTGAGAATGTCGTATGTTTACTGTCATTTACTGTCACAGTGTAGCTTCTAAATTCAACACTCAACTTTCACTGAAAGACTGCCACAACATAAGGACAAGATGGTTTCAGGTGCAGGCCTTTCTGATGCTGAATCTCTATCATTCATTAATTACATTTGAAGCAGCTGGCACTCTGACAATGCTTTTGCAAACAACCAGCCACACCCCAGATCGTGGGAAACATTAAAAGATTTGTTCTGAGATTTAAAAGGGTTTTTTTTGGCTGTTTTCCAATGTTGTTTCAGTAAGAAAAGTACAAGTGTGAAGCAGAGGGCGAGAGAGTCGTGCTTTTACAAGAGCTAAATATTATAGTATGCTTTCCAATTGTCTGTTTAAGCACCTCAAACTAAAATTAGTGGGCTTCAATTGTCTTCGATACCGTACCAGCAGACTGATTCTGAGTGCCCTGCCCCTCTTTATTTCCACCACCGAGAGGCCCTTGAGAAAGGCCACTAATGCTCTGAAGATCAGCTCACACTGTGGTTGATAGCTGACACAAAAGAACGCATGTTATTATGTAATGAGGTGTAAATACAGCAGAGCAAAATCACGTTACTATATGAACATTTTAAAGTGATCATATAAACTAGATGGTACAATGTGGTGTTTTAATCAGTGCAGTATTTTCAGCTCATTGTAAGTTACTAAACTGCAGCACAGATGTTGTAATATTATATATTATTATGGCTTAAAATGATAAACTAGTGTTCAGATTGTTTATGAATCAGTAGGCGTATATTTGACATTTCTATATTGTGTTTATGAACAATATTATTGATTATATTATTCAGTGACTGGGGAAGAGGCCTCTGGCTGCAACATTCAAACAATTGAACAAGTTTTAAATGTCCTGTGCATGATTTTATACACATTTTCCCAAATTCAGCCTGACATATTTAGAAACTCTGGGATCTCCACTGGAAGTTTAAATAAAGTTCTGTTGGTTTGAATCATGTTTAACTGCACAGCATGAGTTTGTAAAGACTCCATGACCGTAGAAGAGGTTAATAACACTGAGTTGTATCCCTATTACACAAATCTGTGTAAGATATGATGTCAGAGTGGATCCTCTGATTTTCCACACCTATAATATAAAGCAGATGGTGGATGGTGTTATTGTACGATCATAAAATAATGAAGGTCGTGGAGCAATGTCGACAGTAGCTATTTAGCTGGCACTGAATCTAACAGTAATGATTTGATTTGTTTGACTTCCTTCTTCTGTGGAAACACCGTGTGCTTTTTTGAAATGAGAAACATTGTACAAAAAGGAACCCAGTGTTTTCTACATGGAGTGAAGCTGACTGAAATATCTGAAATATCTCAACAACAGTCGGGTGAACTGGCAAAAAACTCAACCCAGATGAATCCTCATGACAATGTGAGCATGTTAGCATTTAGCTCAAGGAACGACTGTGCCTCAGTGCAGCCTCACAGAGCTGATGGCAGCCTGCAGACTATAAACCTTCTCTGTCTTTGCTTTGTTCAGGAAAGGCTGCAGACAGGAATTAGTTTTGTTGTATTTCCTCGTTTTGATGCACCACACTCATTTAGTAATCTCAGAAGTATGTATGAAATTAATTTTCCTCCTCCAGGACACCTGTCAAGTAACTGACAGCAAGAAAATGTTTCCTGGTTTGTGTGATCAGATCTCACAATATAAGGATGTTAAAAATCTATATCTGTGTTAAGGTTTAGCCAAGACGACATCTATTGTAGAAATCAGACTTAACGATAGAATCACAAATGCTGCACATAAGAACCACAAGAAATATAAAGAGTTTTTTTTATGTTTAATCATTGTTATTTCTTTAGAAGGTAGTGCATTTACCTGCTGCGTCCCAACATCACATATCTTTATCTCTGTGTGTTAACACATTTAAAATCAAAGTCAAATCATGTCAGAATAAAGAAGCAGAGCATTTTAACATGAGACTGCAGCCTGTAAGTGTTTAACTGTTGAAACAGGCTGTGTGATCAGTCGGTGAAAGGTACGAGGGGGTCGTCTTTGGTTTTGTGCTGCTTGACACCGCTCAGTGATGGAGGAGTTGGGAACTGCGTCCCAGCTCCTTGGACGACCATCAGATGATCATAGTCTGCTCCAACATGAACCTGCACAAAAAGAGAGGAAAATTGTGCATCTAAACACATATATTCATCTGGATCTTGTGTTGCTGAACAGTGAAGATCTTCTACCATCAGGGGTGTGTAACTGGTGTTTACTGTCCTGTCATGACTTTAACATGACATTAGGTTCAACTGGATGTCACAATTAATTCAACATGAATATTATACAAAGACACATCTGAGGCTTTCAAAGTTTTTTTTTTCTTCAAATATCAGAATATCATTTACCTTGATGAGGTAGTGGGTTCCTCCCATCAGATGCAGATTCCTGTATTTAACTGCTTTGAATTCCCTATAGCACTTGCCTGTCTGTTTCTCCACTTGACCCGTGACCTGTGTGTGAATGGAATAAAGCATGATGTAAATCCAGACTGAAATACAGACCAGAGAATTGTGTGTGGAGGTTGTGAAGAATAAAGGTAGACTGAGGCTCACCTGATCACAGATCTTCTGAGTTTCCTCAGTGGCGTCCACTGTCTCACTCCATCCTCCCATATCCGTAGCCATTGTCACAAGGTCTGTTGAAGTTAACAGAGGAGTCGACTGCCTGCTTCTACGTGTCTCTCTGTTTCATTTCAGTTGGTTATCCAATGTATTTACTGTGTGACCACCCTTGGACTCAGACTGGAAGGTGGCTTTAATTTCTGTCATTCATTGATTTCAGTGTAATTCTTTGGAAGCAGCTAGCCCTCTCACAATGCTTGGCAAGATAGCAGGGTGATGTGGTCTCGGGAGCGGGTGTGGGTGAACAGGCAGGCAGCAGAGTTCTGGATGTATTGAAGTTTATTGAGGAGTTTGAATGATGAGCCATAGAGGATGCTATTGCAATAGTCCAGTCTGGATGTGATACATGCATGGATGAGGGTTTCTGCAGCAGAGAAGGTGAGTGAGGGGCAGAGACGGGTGATGTTCTTGAGGTGGAAGAAGGCAGTCCTGGTAATGTGATTGATGTGGTGGTCAAACCTTAGCTGGCTGTCGAAGATGATTCCTAAGTTGCGGGTATGTGGTGAGGGAGACAGAGTGCAGTTATCGAAGGTGAGGCAGAGGTTGTGGGTGGCTTTGGTGCAGGATGTGGGGTCAATGAGGATGTCACTGTTCAGTTGGAGATAGTTTGTTTGCATCCATGATTTTATTTCAGTGAGACAGTTGGTGAGTGTGAAGTGGGTGGTGTTGGTGATGGCTTTGTTGGAGATGTACAGTTGGATGTCGTCGGCTTAGCAGTGGAACTGGAGGCTGTGATGACGGATGATCATGCCAAGGGGGAGCATGTAGAGGATGAAGAGGAGGGGACCAAGTACTGACCCCTGGGGGACAACTTGGGACAGGGGAGCAGTGGGGGAGGTGCAGTTGTTTATACTGATGAACTGGTGTCGGTTGGTGAGGTAGGAGTGAATCCAGGAGAGTGCTGTGCCGGTGATGTGGAGAGATGATTCCAGTCGGGAGAGCAGGATGGAGTGATTGATGGTGTCAAATGCTGCTGTGAGGTAAAGGAGGATGAGAATGTTGAGGTGTCTGGAGTCTAAGGAGAGGAGGAGGTCATTGGTGACTTTCAGGAGGGCTGTTACAGTGTTTTGAACGGAAACCGGATTAGAAAGATTCAAACAGGTTATTGGAGGTGAGGTGGGAGTTGTGAGGCGAAAGCTCACAACTCAGAACAATTCCCCTTCCTGTCAAGAAAGGATTTTTGACAGGAAGGGGAGATTGGAGATGGAGCGGAAGTTACTTGGATTGTCAGAGTTTAAACCGTGTTTTTTGATGATTGGTGTGATGGCAGCCAGTTTGAGGGTTTGGGGGACAGAACCAGAGCTGAGGGAGGTGTTAATAATACCAGTAATGAGTGGGGAGATAACAGGGAGGCAGTCCTTAATAAGTTTGGATGGTATGGGATCCAGAGTGCAGGTGGAGGTTTTTATTCCGGTCATGATGGTTGTTAACTGTGCTGGGGATACTGGAGAGAAGTGGGACAGAGGCTGAATGGTGATGGGTGGTGAGGCAGGCGGGGAGATGGGAGGGATCCTGGAGGTGTTGAGGTTACTGCAGATGGTGTTTATTTTGGTTTGGAAGTATGTTAAGAAGGATTGGCACTTTTTAGAGGTGAATGATCAGGAGGTGTTGTCATGTGGTTTGAGGAGGGAGTTTATGGTGGAGAACAGATCCTTGGGGTTGCTGGAGCCAGAGTGGATGAGGTGAGAGTAGTGGGTGGATCGGGCAGCGTTGAGTGCATCTTTGTATTGTTGTAGGTGGTCGGTGTAGGCCAGGAGGTGGACTGATAAACCGGTTGTCATTTCCGGGTCTTCATTTGGCGAAGTGCAGGGGTGTACCAGGGGGCAGAGTGAGTGAATGAGACGGTTTTTGTTTTTGTGGGGGCGAGCTGATCCAAGCAGGAGGAGGGTGTGTCGTTGTAGTAGTTTACCAAATTAGCGTAGTGGCTAGTGGACTTCTCTCTACTCCCCACCTGGTTTGAAACCCAGGGTGGGGAGTTTGAACACCAGGGTGGGGGAGTCCTTATGTGCAGAGCCTGCATGTTCTCCCTGTGTCAGCGTGGGCCTTTTCCGGGTTCTCCCACTTCCTCCCGCAGTCCCACTCTAGTAGCCTCTTTGTACACGGCATTGTTGTGGTCACCAGTGTCATGTCATCCATGTAAGCCCTAACTGGTGGAAGATGCACCCCATTTTGCTGTCTCTTCCCACCTACTACTCACTTAGAAGCCCTGATGATTACTTCCATCGCCATAGTAAATGCTAATGGAGAAATTGCACACCCTGCCATAATACCTATTTCTAGCCTCTGCCAACCTGTTGTGAAACCTGCCGTACTTAGAAACAACCTAATATCCTGAAAATATGCTTTCACTAAGTTAACAACTACCTGTGGCACTTTGAAGTAGTCAAACGCAGTCCAAATGAGGCTATGTGGTACTGAACCAAACGCATTTGCTAGATCTAAAAATATTACATGCAGGTCCCTTTATTTAATCTTCACTGCCTGAATCTGGTGCCAGATCATGCTAGTATGCTCTAAACACCCTGGTATTCCTGCCCTGTGCACCGTAGTATCTATTAAGCTATTCCTTTCCAGGTAGCTAGCTAATCTCTGCACTACTACACTAAAGAAAATCTTCCCCTCTACATTCAAAAGAGAAATCATCTGGAATTGGCTAATATAAGGTCCACGGACTCCTTCTCCTTAGGAATGAGGACACAGCCTGCCCTACGCCATGCTCTTGGGATAATTTGTTTCTCCCAGACTATTCTTAGCTCTTTGCCCTACGCCATGCTCTTGGGATAATTTGTTTCTCCCAGACTATTCTTAGCTCTTTCCACAAACATTTAAAAACTCCTTTTGTGCAATGTTTCCCATTATAGAAGCACACAGATGACTGTTTCGCAGCTGCAGAAATGCATCGCAACAATCGCAATGGAATATAAGTGTGTTGGAGAAGAGGTCAGAGCATAGGTGGATTTTGACACCTGGCCCCTGGTCCTGGACATGTGTAAGTCCCCCCCAAGCAGGTAAAATACTGCTTCTTCTCCCTGCAGAGTTGAGGTCCTAAACTGAGGGAATTAACACTCACTTAAAATGTGAGGAGGTTAGCTGTTCAGCATAAGTTGCCATGGTGATTTATCCCGGTAAAAAGAGAACCAGCTTTGTAGTACTGAAAACCCAGAGTTAACCCTGAGGTTACCTCGTTAACTCCAAATCCTGCTTTGTTGTACAGGCCTCAGGTCGACTGAGTTCTAATTATGGTTATATTCATGTATAATAAAAATGTACCTGAAATTTAAATAAGAAATCCCAAACCTTAAAATTTAACATAATACAACCAAAAAAAGTGTTTTTATGTTTTCCTTTGACTTATTGAGACTTTTCTTTCTTTCTTTTTTCCCCCAATTTTTAACCTATTTATTTAATTTTTATTTTTATTTTTTTGGAAAAGCATCTCCTGTTTGAAACACATAAATGCTGCTGTGTAGCATTCATTATTAAACCATGTGACCATGTACAAGGTGAGATACATTAGAATTACTGGTAAAATAGCTTCAGTCCACTGTAATCGTCTACACCATCCAGACCTTGTTCAGACATTTGCTTGACTTAAATCTTTTAGTTTACTGAGGTTGTCGTCATGTTTAACTGTGTTTGGCACAGCTATTTCAGAGCCATGAGACCAGTGATGTGATTTACTGACTGAGAGAGTATTTCATAGTTACCACACACCTGTTGATGTAGGATATATTCACCTTTCACCACATCCTTTTGCACATTGCGCTGCTGAACATACACAAACCAAAATAGTGCCTCTATATTTCTGATTTCAACTGAGGGTGAAAAACAGTAAACTGCAGGTGCAGTGCATGCTTTCATTTATCATTTTCTTTCTATTCTATTTTTTTTGTAACAACTTCTTCCATCCAAGACGACATCTATTTAGAATCAGACTGTATAAAAAAGCAAGTGCTGCATATAAGAACCACAAGAAATACATAGAGATTTTTTAATGTTTTAATCTTTATCATTTTTTTAGAAGGCAGTGCATTTACCTGCTGCTACCCACCATCAAATGTCTTTACCTCTGTGTGTTAATACATTTAAAATCAATGTCAGATCATTTCAGAATAAAGAAGCAGAGCATTTTAACATGAGACTGCAGCCTGTAAGTGTTTAACTGTTGAAACAGGTTGTGTGTCAGTTGGTGAAAGGTACGAGGGGGTCGTCTTTTGTTTGTGCTGCTCTACACCGCTCAGTGATGGAGGAGTTGGGAACTGCGTCCCAGTTACTTGGACGACCATCAGATGAATGTAGTCCTCTCCTCCAACATCAACCTGCACAAAAAAGAGAGGAAATTTGTGCATGTAAACAAATAGATTCATCTGGATCTTGTGTTGCTGAACAGTGAAGATCTTCTACCATCAGGGGTGTTTAACTGGTGTTTACTGTCCTGCCATGACTTTAACATGACATTAGGTTCAACTGGATGTCACAATGAATTCAACATGAATATTATACAAAGACACATCTGAGGCTTTTAAACTTTTTTTTCTTCAAATATCACAATATTATGTACCTTGATAAGGTAGTGGGTTCCTCCACACAGATTCAGATCTCTGTATTTAACTGCTTTGTATACCCTGTATTTCTTGCCTGTCTGTTTCTCCACTTGGTCCTTCACCTGTGTGTAAATGGAATAAAATATGATGTAAATCCAGACTGAAATACAGACCAGAGAGTTGTGTGTGTAGGCTGTGAAGAATAAAGGTAGACTGAAACTCACCTGATCACAAATCTTCTGAATTTCCTCAGTGGCGTCCTTTGTCTCACTCCATTCTCCCATATTCGTAGCCATTGTCACAAGGTCTGTTGAAGTTAACAGAGGAGTCGACTGTCTGCTTCTACGTGTCTCAAGTGTTTATTTTCAGCTGGTTATCACATATATTTATACTGTGTAACCACCCCTGGACTCAGACTGGAGGGTGGCTCTGATACCTGATGTTGTGGGTGGAGCTACAGTACAGGTGTACAAAATAAATGTAGGAACATAAGGACAAAGTTGCCATTGTAAGAGCAA